GTGTGTGTGTGTGTAAGTAGGGCTGCAACTAACAGTTATTATAATAATAGATTAATCATTTGATTTTTTTTTTTTGATTAATCGATGAATTGGAAAACAAAACAAAAAAAAAACAATTTTAATTCTGTCCTGTTTAATCCAAAATAGAAAATTTGAACTGACAGCAAATCACACTAAAACAGTTTGCTGTTTGAGAATTCTGTTACTATAATATTAAATTATAATGCACAAATAAGTTAATATTTATCAAATGGCTTCAGTAAAAAAAAAAATGAATACACAAAAATCTACACAAATGTGTCCTTGAAAGTCTTCATATTTTCTCTCCATGAGTGTAACCTGAAGTGAAAGTGTGTTATAGAGAAGTCTTTATCTTTGACCATGGACAGTTTCATGTTAGAGACGATCATGTTAAAAACACTTTCAGTCCAGACAGCTGCTGATTACAATAATTCAATAAATGCCTTGTTTTATTTTCAGTGTTGGGTTAAGACTCTTCACTCAGACACTGTCAGCAAAGTAAAGATTAATCAATAAATTAATATAATCATAAATCTCCTGACACAAAAAAATCCATAATGAACTTTGTAGCCAAAAGTTTTAATAATCATTTTTTATAGATTTTACTGATTAGTTGTTGCAGCCCTACATGTAAACCTGGCTTCTTACTGCCATGAAAGGCGAGCAGTCGTGTAATTGTTTGTCTTAAAGTCTGTGTGGTAGTGATTGTGGGACTTGCCTGATCATAAACTGCTCTGTAACTCATAAAGCCGACCTCTCAGAATGTGGAAGTAAGACAAAACTGGAAGAAGGAAGAAAAAAAGCAGCAATAAATCAATTTGCACTTCTTCTTTTGCTTTGAAGAAGTCTTGAGGCCAGAATGACTCGACACAAACTGACTCAGCTGCAGTTTTCAGTCACATGAAAGGAAAGTTTGATTTGTGTTATGAATGTGTTGAGAAATGTGTTTTTAGGTCAACAGAAGCAGCTGACTTATTCATGAGACTCAGTAGAAATGTGACCTTTTGATGTAGTTGAGCTGTGCAGCTGTGCTGTTTCAGAGAAACTGAGCCGTCTCTGAGTTCGTCCAGGTGTTCCTCTGGTTTTTAAATCCAGTCAGTGTGAGTGAAACACTTGTCTGAGTGCTGAAACTCTGTTCTTTCTAACCAGGCTCAGTATTATGGAGAGATCGGTTTGGGCTCTCCACCTCAGCTCTTCACGGTGGTGTTTGACACGGGCTCGTCCAACCTGTGGGTTCCTTCTGTTCACTGCTCCCTGCTGGACATCGCGTGCTGTAAGTCCTGTTGGCCCTGAAACCACACTGCTGTTACAGATGTGCTGCACTCATCCACATCCTGTTGTCTCTGTCCAGTGCTTCACCACAAATACAACGCTGCTAAATCCAGTACGTACGTGAAGAACGGCACCTCCTTCGCCATCCAGTACGGATCTGGCAGTTTGTCGGGATACCTCAGTCAGGATACGTGCACTGTGAGCTCCTTGTCCTCATCAAGACCACCTGAAATGATGTAAAAAGGTTTAACTCGTCTTATTTGTGTGTTCAGATAGGTGATATTTCTGTGACGAACCAGATCTTCGGTGAAGCCATCAAACAGCCTGGTGTAACCTTCATCGCAGCAAAGTTTGATGGGATCCTTGGCATGGCTTACCCCAGGATCTCTGTGGACGGGGTGGTTCCAGTGTTTGATAACATCATGAGCCAGAAGAAAGTGGATAAGAACATCTTCTCTTTCTACCTAAACAGGTGAGATTAGCTTTAGCCGTTACCAGTGGTGGGCAGCGCTAACCCAAAAATTAGCTCCACAATTTCTAAAGCGCTTATGAAAATATTTAGGTCTGCAACTTCAAAAACGCTTATGCCATAGAAAAATTAGCAGAAGCTAATTTTAAAGCGCAAGTTCAATTTGACACTTATTAGCAGGCAACATTCATGTACAATATATGTACAACACTGCCAACTAGCGGTGTATGAACCCATTTACAGCTTAAGCCTACAAGCACCGAATGCTGGGATGTGATTTCCTGAATCAGACCTTGGGCTCCTGGTGTAAAAATTAAAATGTTGTTGAGGATTGCTAGTTCGGCTGCTTCTTTGTCTTTTTCTTTTGTATGTTGTAGATTTTTCATTAATAAAGCAATTTTAAAACTGTTTATTGGAAAACTGAAGCGATGCATTCTGGGTACGTGACGGATTTGATTTGTGACGAGAAATTAAAGTTTTCAATGTAGTTGCTCCAGTTGACCACTAGATGTCAGTCTTCACCAACGTAACATCTTTAAATCATTTCTGAGTCTGTAACCCCGTTGGCTGATTGCTTCGACCAATTACGTCAAGTATTGAGCTCCAGCGTTTAAACTTTATTTTGTTTTTTTAAAAAGGAGCTCCTATTGTAAAGTAAAATAATTCAATACATAAAAATTTTAGTATGGATTACAAACGTTCACTGTTTTTGTTGGGAAAGAGAGTCCTAAACATTGCCTTCCTGCTACGTAAGCAGACACAAAGCATTGTGGGAAATGAGAACCCTGACCGAAAGCAACAGTCAGCAGGATGTATACGTTTCCAACAACTGTGTTTATCTGGGAGGGGTGCTGTTGGATAGATCACGTGTTGTGATTCATCGACAGCCTTACCTTCCGCTGTTCAAGACAATGATGACTGGTAGATAATTAGTTATTTAGCGGTACTGCATTTTAATATTAGAAAGTGCAAATCTGTTTATTAATTATAAAAATTAGTAAGACCGCTAAAGCGCAATTGAAATATTTAGGTCCGCAATTAGTGGATTTGCGCTTTAGCGGACTGGTGCCCACCACTGGCCATTAGCTAAAAGCATTCCTACACAAAGTTCATATTGGTTTACCAGATGAAACTGCCTGGCCAAAGGTCACTCTCTAATATTTTGTAGGACCACCCTGAGCTTTGATTACAGCATATGTTTGTTATGACATCGATTTCACAAGTTTCACAAAGTTTTCTGTATTATGTTCAGTGATTTTTAGGGGTTTAGGTCTGGACTTTGTGGTGGGCAGTGATGGCTGGTGAGGCACTCAGTTCATCAGAATCAGATTCACATTTATTTGAATCCTGCAGAGGAGCTTAGTCACCATTTGATTGGCAGACGTTATGTTTCATTTCTCATATCAGTAGTCTTCACACAAACTGTAGCTCACTTGATGCACGTCATTAAAATAAACTTATGATCCTACTTTTAATTCTAAAGTCCATGCATGGCTCACAATATCCCATCTGAGTCTACATGTAGTATAAAGAAAAAAAGATGAGTTTCTGTCAGGACAGCCACACGGCCTCTCTTTGTTTGAGAAGAGCGTGTGTCTCAGCTGTGGTGTTATTTACATTATTACCTGCTGCTTCAAGTGAAAGTCCAGTTTAGAAAATGGAGCTTTTATAACGCTCCGTTCTGAAAGTCATGTTTGATAAAAGGAAAAAAGAAATGGATCACTGCTGCACGTGACTTGCTAACTGTAAGATTATAACTAGCTTACTCACTTCCTCTATATCAGCTAAACTGTGGAAAGTCAGACATGGAAAAAGTATTTGAAACCTTTTCCTGCTAACATGCAGAGACACAGCAGTCCACTCTGGCTGAGTGACGTGCTGCACAGTTTGTGATGGGGAGCACTGCTTTAACTCATGCTCCTGCAGGAAGAGAGCGACTTCCAGCAGGTCAGCTTTTCACCTGAACAACCCTGAGGACTAAAGATACCTGTTCAATATCCACATAATATTAATCTGTAAAGCTTTGTTCTGACTGTATTTAACGGGACTCTTATTGTGAAACACCCAGTTACTGAAACCAGAAATACCACTACCAGTTAAGGAAGTTGACAGTAATATGAGAGCTGGTGTTATATTTGTGACAGAGCTGAATTAAACAGAAGTAACTCCTGTAGACTGGTGTGCAGGTGGATTTATTAACAAACCAACAGACACAACACATCCACATTCAGTTAACTCAGTATTTACCAGTTAAGAGGAAATAAAACCATATCAAATCCAATAACGTAGTCATTGTTCACTTTTCCTGTAGTGCAGGTCAGATATGACTCTAAACCTTTCTCATATTTATTAAATTAAGTCTAATTTTGTTATTACAGTGGGGAAAATAAGTATTTAGTCAGTCAACAATTGTACAAGTTCTCCCACTTAAAAAGATGAGAGAGGCCTGTAATTGAC